CGTGAGGCAGCAGGGCCCCCCTGGGGGTTGTGGTCGGGGTCCCACTGTAGCCGAACTTGTAACTTGTCAGCGGAGACAGACTGCTCTTTCTGCTTCTGTTGACGTTGGCAATAACAGAAACGTCATCATCATCATCATCATCATCATCATCATCATCATCATAATCATCATCATCATCATCATCACCGACTTAACTATTCCCCTTTCCCTTGTTTCGTTTCTCTAAAAGACTTAACAATATGCACCATGTCAGTACATTCTTATGGGCACCAAAATCAGGACATGGGACAACAACAAAAACAGAAAAGTTTTTTAACTTCCCAATAAACGTTATAAGAGTGAAGAAAAATATTTATTTATTTATTTATTTATTTATATATGTGAAACATTCTCCAGTGTGTTTACTCTAAGACTAACAGCTAATTTCAAAATCCAAAATGCTGCACAGTTGGTTGTTATTACTAAACACAAAAGCGCCAGAAGATAAAATTGGGCAGGGTAAAAAAAAATAATTTTTTAAACATTTGTGTGTTAGCATGCTTGCATACATGAAAGAGTGTGTGTGTGAGGGTGTAAGCCAACATGTGAGCAGGCTTTCATTCATGAAAAAAAAAAGAGTATGTATATTGTGTGAGTATGAGCATGAGTGTGTGGTGGTAAGCATGTGAGAGCAACTGTAAGTGTAAACGAAAACTTTCTGAAAGTCAACATGATAGCAAACCTCCATTGTCAAAGCCTTAGAGAGAATATCTTCAAAAGCGGCCCGAGAGATCCTGATTGCCAGCACGTGTTCCTGATTGGGTTTACTGGTCCAGCCACATCGGTACATCATCCACATGAAGTTTGTCTTGATCCAAGACATGCGCTCAAACCGGTAAGCCGGACCACCAAATCTGGAAGATGAACAACAAAAGTGGAAAAATAAGTAGGGAGTAGCTAAGTGCAAATCGAAAAACATGTACATTAACTTCTTCAAATTGTTTTACGGAGCGGGTTGTCCCAGCACGTGAGACCTGTATTTACTTGGCCTAATGTCCTGTAGTCTCGTTATTTACTTGACCATACGTCTTGTAGTCTTGTTGTGCGTTTGCGTGAGTCCACCTTTTGGTGTAACTTCTGTAACGTCTACTGCCATTGTTAAAGACCAAGACATATTTCTCCCTGTGAGAAGAATAAAGATTGTCATTGTCATTGTCAAATAGAAGAAGTAGAAATAAAGACAAAAGGAAACGTTTGTGATTAGAGTTCAGTATCTTCGAGTCTTTGTGCCGCTGGGCAGCTTGAGCTATCAAAAGTGCCAGAGAGTAGCCTTATTGGATGACTTTTATTCCTCTTACAACACAATTTGTGGGGCAACGTGGTGAAATCAGGCGCTCGTCAAAATAATGAAATTGGAAACAGACAATTTTCTTTCGGTTTGACAATATTTATCAAATTTATACTTTTTGCATAAATCTCTTTTATGTTATGTCTATTTAAAAAACACCTTTCTGAGTGGATTTTACTGAAAAACGTTCAATAAAGGGGCAAAAATGTAAATGTTCAGTTTCCCAGGGCTCTCCGGGCATGGCATTCATCAAATTTTGGCTGCCATTCTCTCACTATTTTTACCTCTGAAACCCCACCTCCTTCAATAGCAAATCCCATGACATTCATTAAATATAGATGGGTAATTTTCTTCACTGTAAGCAAGACAAATAAACAAACTTTAAGATGATACCAATAACTCCATATGCCCAAAAATTGACGAGCGCCTGATATTCCACCGCGTTGTGACACATTTAGCTGGCAGGCTTGCTTGACCCAATGACCCAGGCTGAGTAGGATGAGGCATCCCACCCCAAAGAGAGATAAATTAAATGTGATGCATTCCAACAAAATGATTAAACAAGACAACACAAAGAGATTTTCGCACAAAAAGAATTATGCAATTTAGAATACTCTGCCGATACCAGGATAATGATTTGTTCGAGTTAAATATATTTAATAAGAAAATCAACACAATAAATGGTCATTCAGTGCTGGGGAAAAAATAAGGCCAACAGACAGAAAAAACAAAGGGAAAGCAAAGAAGTAGGACATACCAGTGGCACCAGCTCCAACCATGATCCGCACAGGATAATGAGGAGAAAGAAAATTCTTTGGAAAAACTTAATTTAGAACAAAATTCTTTTCAAAACTTTTCACGAAATGAACTACAAACCTTTGAAATTTGACCGCGTACTCAGCTATAGCTTTGTTGAACGCCTGATAAACAACGATGCCTTCGTCATCGTAGTGCGCCAGTATATGCCTCCCCCTGGCTGGCCAGTGTTGTGTCTTCTGCTCATTGTAATTCTCCCAGATCAACTTACGCTGAGATGGCAAAGACTTCAGCTGGTCGGAGGATGCCATCGCTGTACACTTGTCACATGAAATAGAGAATACGTGGACAGTTAGACCATGAACCGAACTACAAGAAGTACTTAAAGTATTATCATATTGATCTTGTCAGTAGTATTTGTACAGTCATAACAATATTATTACATGCGTATTGAGATAACAAAATATGAGTCAATTCTATATATA